AATGCATAATTAGCGCATTGCCTTTCACACCTGTCAGTACAAGCATTCAGTCTTTGGTGGGGACATCCACCTGCTGAAGCAAGGTACCTGGGGTGAGGGGCTACACTGTGAGCAAAGCAATCTCAAAAAATAAAAGCTAAGCATGCTGTTCTCACAGCACTTTCTTTCCAATGAGGGGACACAAACAATAAGTGTCTGTGGAAAAGGACATTGTAGTTTTTGTGTGGAAGATAACACATCAGCTGGCCATTGCTACAGAACAAACCAAAACTAGGTGGCTCAATACAATTGGCATTTGTTACGGATTATCAGAGCAGAGAGAAATGGAAGTGGTGCATGTGTGACATGAAGATATACAGAGAGATAGGGAGATGGGTAAGGAGGGAGGGGGAGAGAAGGGGATTAGGTCACCATTTTTTTTAAAGATTTATTTTTATTGCAAAGTCAGAGATATACAGAGAGGAGGAGAGACAGAGAGGAAGATCTTCCATCTGATGATTTGCTCCCCAAGTGACTGCAATGGCCGGTGCTCAGCCGATCTGAAGCCAGGAGCCAGGAACTTCTTCCAGATCTTCCACACAGGTGAAGGACTCCAAGGCTTTGGGCTGTCCTCAGCTGCCTTCCCAGGCCACAAGCAGGGAACTGGATGGGAAGTGGATCTGCCAGGATGAGAACCGATGCCCATATGGGATCCCGGAGTGTTGAAGGCAAGGACTTCAGCCTCTAGGCCACCGTGCCAGGCCCTAGGTTACCATTTAATTACTGCACTTTTATTTATTTGTGAGGCCGAGGGATTGAGAGAACAACTTCTCACCACCAGTCTATCCCCACATGTTCAATGGTTGGAGTCCAAAGACAAGTCCTGGGAATGGTATCCATATAGCCCACGTGGGTGGCAGGAACCCAGCTGCTTTGAGTCCCACCCTGTGGCTGTGGGACTCCATCAACAGCCAGGCAGCATCAGGGGCCAGGCATCTGATGTGGGTCTCCCAGGCCAGTGTTTTATCCATGAAATGCATACCAATCCTAGCAAGTGACTGGTCCTCAATAACTAGTAACACCCAGTAACAGCTCCTAGTTTCACTCCTATAATCCTCTTCCTCTGAATGCGAGTGGATTTAATTTCCTCCTAACAAATGCAATGTAACATTTCCAAGACGATCAGTCTAAGAGAATAGATCATCTCTGTAGCACCTCCTGACTAGTCTGCTTGATGGTAGCCGGGCACTGTGCTCAGATATGGTCCCTGGTGAGGCCCGTGTGGCCAGGAAGAGAGGGAGGCCCCCAGCCACGGGCAAAGTAGGCCCTCAGTGGAACTGAATCCAGCTGAGAGAGGTTGGGGAGGGGTGTGGATGAACCCACAGCCCCAGTGACTCCAGAGCACCCAGCCAGTCATGCCCAGAGCCCTGAGCCCAGCAACCAAGACACAGGACTTGTAGGACCTTGTTGTGGTCACCATGCAGGGACATTTAACAAAGACTTGGAGAACGTGAGGGAGAAGTGTACCTGGATACTTGATGCAGAGGGAATGGCCAGAGCACAGGCCCCGAAACGCAGTGGGACTCATGTGCATAGAGGACTACTGTGGGGGTCGTGATGTGCGCCCATCATAGATGAGGCTAAGCCCAGGAGGGGATGAGGCCCGTGCCATAGCCTAGGAGCCAGCCTCTCGCCCTCTCCCTTAGCCCCAAGGTGTCCTTACCTGTCCTTTGTCTAAAAGAACTTACTGAACTGAGAGAGGTGTACAGCTGGCAGGGTGAGGTTCCAATGACCAGACTGAAGGAAAACCACTGACCAGTCTTGTCCCGAGGAGTTGTAGAAGGGAATTCCAGGTTTGTGGCCAAAGTAATTCCTGCTAACTGGGCACCCCAAGATCCCAGGGAAAACAAAAATAAAAACTGAAGCCCACCTGGCCACTGTTAATCCCCTGAAGAGCAGGTGTCATCAACCATTCACAGCAAGGTCATGAGGAAGCCAGAAGTCGGGATGTGACCCAAACAGGTGCCTCAGCCCTGACTTAAATGCACGAGAACCCTCATCCCTAATTGTTTGGGGAGCCCTGAAATTAAGCAACAGTTTCCCTACTTCTTGCTTTGCATTTCTTCCATCACCCCCTTGGGCCCAGGTAGGCTTGGGGGTCTCATTCTTTTGGGGTATGAGACCTGGTAGGTTATCATAAGAATGTTAGCCTCAACCTCAGAGAGCTTGACATTGCGGCAAGGTTTGGGAACACACGCGGGACTGTTCTTCTGGGGGCACCCTCTGGGTTGTGCTGACCGGCTGCAGGCAGAAAGGAGAAGCAGCGACACTTCAGGGTTGTCTAGGCAAGTGATGGGGTGGCTCAGTCAGGATGGGGCCGGGGACAGGTTCTGTTGGAGAGGTAGAATGGAGGATTATCAGTAGAGGGAGAGAGCAATGGGAGGAAGACTCCACGACTGGAGGACGTGAAAAACCGGGAACCCAGCAGGATGTCCGGCATGAGTGTGCCCCTCACCAGAAATTCACCTCTCGTTGCATAAAACTCAAGGAAGCGATTACATTTCAAGTAAAGGTGTTAGGCTGACAACTGTTCTCTCCATCTTGAGTTCCAGAGTGCTACCAGGAATTGGATGAATTCAGTTTTCACTGTACAGAGAGCACTTGCAGGCTGACCTGTGGTGCAGCAAAGCTACTGCTTGTGACGCCAGTACCCCATTTCAGAACGCCAGTACGAGTCCCAGCCAGTCCACTTGTGATCCAGCTCCCTGCTAATATGCCTGGGAAGGCAGCAGAGGACGGCCTCGTGGGAGACCAGGAAGAGGCTCCTGGCTTCTGACAGCTCAGCTCCGGCCATCTGGGGAATGAACTAGAGGATGAAAGATCTTTGTCTCTTTGTAAATTCGCCTTTCCAATAAAAATTATCAATAAATGTTAAAAAAAATTGAGAGTTGAGTTTTGTGGAGACAAGATGACTCAGGTTCACTATAAATATTACTAAACAGTTAGCTACAGCTCAGGGACTGGACAGGAGTGCTTTCTCATCACACCTTTGTCATCTGTAGTTCACTCAGGGTTTGCTGTTTGCAGGTAGTTCAGTTGGCTTTGCGCTTTGTGGAAGCAGCGACAGAAAAGAGTGCTCAACTAAGCCAACAGGAAAATCAAGTTAGGTTAGAAGAGGGGGCTAGCGCTGTGTGCAGTGCATTAAGCCACTGCCCGAGACAGTGGCATCCCATATGAATGCCAGTTTGAGTCCCTGCTGCCCCACTTCGGACCCAGCTCCCTGCCAGTGCATCTCTCCTGGGAAAGGGGCAGAAGCTGGCCCTCGTGTTTGAGCCTCCGCCCCCACATGGGAGCCCCAGAGGGAGCTCCTGGCTTCTCACTAGCCCCGCCCAGCCCCAGCTGTTGTGGCCATTTGGGGGGATCTGTCTCTCTCTGCTTTTCGAATATAATAAGTTGTATAAAAATAAAAGTGAGGCTAAAAGGAATTCAATTTCTCAGCCTCAGTTGACCAACACAAGGGCATGGATGGGGTGTATATATAAAATTTTAATTGCAGTTATTTTACTTTGTAGTCTTAACTTTCAGTGTATAATCAATGTCTTATTCATTTTTTTTTAAATAAAATTTATTCAAAAGGTGAGCAGGGCCTGGTGCAGGCCCTAGCAGGGCCTAGCAGCTAAAGTCCTTACCTTGCACACACCAGGATCCCATGTGGGTGCCGATTCTAATCCTGGAGGCCCTGCTTCCCATCCAGCTCCCTGCCTGTGGCCTGGCAAAGCAACTGAGGACAGCCCAAAGCCTTGGGACCCTGCACCCGCGTGGGAGATCTGGAAGAGGCTCTGGTCTCCTGGCTTTGGATTGGTATAGCTCCAGCCATTACGATCTCTTGGGGAGTGAATCATTGGACGGAAGATCTTCCTCTTTGTCTCCCCTCCTCTCTGTATGTCTAATTTTCCAATAAAAAAACAAAACAAACAAACAACAAAACCCCTTTTTTTTTTAAAGGTAAGGGAATCACAGACACATACTCAGGGACAAAGTGGGCACAGCAGGGGAAAGGTGGAGAGGACGCCCCTCCCCATTGCCTGGAAAGGACAGTGGCCATATGACACCGCCCCCAAGTCCCAGGTCTGGGGGACACATCCTGGGGAGGAGACATTTGATTGACAGGCCAGCAGACCATAGGACATGGGGAAGTATGGCTTCCACTTTGTGACTGAAGCTTGCCACCTGCCTGTCCCATTCCTAACTCTGTATGTGGCTGGGTGTTTGGTCCCCATAGCAACAGGGCTGTACATGCAGAACTCCACAGCAACTAGAGCATGACGTGTGTAAGAGTTGATACAGTGGCCTGTTAACACGAAAACCTCACAGCTCACGCTGAGCGAGGGTGCGGTTTTACTGGTGTTTCTAGGATCTCCTGGCTTTGGTTTCCCTCTTGCAAGATTCCCTTATCTCGCTTGGATTCAGCAAGCTCAAACACAAGCTCTTTTCAGTGTAAACTTTATTCCTCCATATCTGACTCCTCGCAGACTCTAATCCATCGCATCACAGCAGATGCAGAACGTGGCTGCACCTCCTGCACCTGTCAGGACTGAGTCTGCTCCACCCCGGGGGGTTTTGGACTCCACCCCGGCCCCACTTCTGGAAGCACTTGCCTGGGAAGGAATGCCCAGAGGGTGGTTTAACGGAAGACGCACCAGAACCAGCTGCTGGATTGTGAGTGGGGCGGGGGATGCGGGCAAGGGCCTTCCATGGCAGGAGAGCCTGGTGCGACGTGTGATCATCAACAACTTCCAACAGATGTCCTTAGCGGGAGCCATGGGCGTGAGGTTGCAGGTGTGTGAGTTCCAAGGCCATCCTGTCTGCCGCCATGGCAGTGTTTCACTCATGGCTCCGTATGAGTCGGGGGAGCCTTCCCTCGCAGGCTCGCCCATCCCTTCCCGTGCGTGTGTGCATATGTGTGTGTGTGTGTGTTTGTGTGTGTGTGTGTGTGTGTGTGCGTGCATCTGTGTGTGCATGTGTGTGCATGTGTGTGCGTGTGCATGTGTGTGTGTGTGTGTGTGTGTGTGTGTGTGTACTTGCTGCATGGGAGCATGCACAGGTGTAACACCGCATCCCTTGGTTCCTGCGCTTGGAAGTTGCCTGCACAGGAGTCTCATTTTGGGGTTGCTGGCATCTGAGAGGGCAGACACTGCACCCCTAGGGCTGCCAACCATTTACTGAAGACGCCTTACAGATTGCATTTTCTTGAAGGGCAAACCTTTGCTCTCTCAGGAATGACTTTTCAGCATAGAAAACTCTTCACAGTTTCAAATGGTCCCACAGAAGCTTCTCCTGGGGCCTGCAGACTGTCCCAAGGCCGGGAATGAACCTGCATGGCAGTGCTGCGGTGCGGGGTCTTCCGGCCCGAGCATCTCCTAAAACACAAATGGCAGGTACGCTTTCCTACGCTTCGGGTAGGAGACAAACTGGCTTCTGTAGAACCTGTGGCTGAGCAAGGCAGACAGGGCCTGGCTGAAGAAGACGTAGGTCACCACCAGCCACCACGTGAAGTTGCGCAACCCGAAGGTGACGGCCAGGGACACGTAGATCAGCAGCTCTGCCAAGTAGTTGGGCGAAGACACGTATTCAAACCAGTCTCCGAAGGGGATCCTGTGCTGGCAGTGGATGACCACGCCTGCCATGGTAAAGAACAAAAGGTCAACGGGTGTCGCCCTCTGCCAGCCACACCTGCGGGCTAGCCGCCCACCCCTGCTGGCAGCTCCTCGGCTTAGCAGACCGGTCCTGGGCTCATACCCTGGCTGTCCTTAACCTGCTCACCCCTCCCTGGCCTTCAGTTTGCTTCTCTCTAACAGGACAAGACAGGTCCCCATTTCATGTGGGGACTGCACCGAGCGCTCAGGCCAAGTGCTGGGAAGAGGCCTGGCAGAAGGCAAGCCTTCCATAAATATCAGGCACCATTATTCCTTTTTGAATATTTAATAGATTTTAATATTTCAAGCAGCCTGATGGAAACAGTATGTGGGATGAATCAATAGAAGCTAACGCCAAGCTCAAGTGTTTCAGCTCTGGCTAGAAGGATGCTAAATTCCACCGTGACTCAACTCCTCAGGGCATGGCCCCGGCCTGTGGAACACGGCAGAGAATGTCACAGAACTTTCTGTGCAAGGCTCTCATTTCCAGCCCAGACGAGCAAGACCACAGGGATGGTTTTTGCAAAACAAACAAACAAAAGCAAAACCCAGCAAATAAAAGAGCATTTGCAATAGGGCAGGAAAGCAAAGGATGATAAAAAACTGAGTCCAAGGGCTGAGACCCCATGTGGGGGCCGGCCAGAGAGCTTTTCTTCTTTTCTTTTATTATTACTATTTTATTTTGATAATCTACATGGTTGATTAGGGCACAAAGGGTCAAGGCGGGCCAAAGATCTCACCTGCTTTGTTCCTCCTGAGCTTGCCTAGGATGACATGGCACCTGTACTGATGGGCGGACGACCAGATGAACAGCAATGTGCCCAGGATGTGGAACCATCGCGCCTGTCTCAGCAGGTTCTTGCCTATCATGTACACTGCAGAGGGGAGAGGAGGCTGACCGGGTGGCCTTTGAAAGCATCATGGCCTCCAGAGCCGGGCACCGCTTCCCAAGGCCAGCAGGCATCCACAGCCCCCAGCCGCCCTGGGGATCCCAACCAGCACACTCTCCTGGCTCAGGGCCATACTTCCCAGCACAGCTACCACCCAGCCAGACCCCGAGTGCCCAATGTTGCTGGGGTGACAGGCTTGGGGAGGAGATAGTTCCTCAAATCAGGGAGGGGTGGATCCTGCAAGACAAATGACAAATAGCACCCCTCTCTGGTTGAAGGAGAATCTCATCAGAGAGAGATAGAGACACAGAAAATCTTCCTCTTTTCCCCCAGCTACAAGGAAGAACAGGACCCTGGTGGCTCAAGGAGCCCAAGAGGAGCAGGACCTCAGCAGAACAGACAAAAGTGACCCGAGGCAAGTAGACCGTGAAGCCAGGAGTGGGGGACTGCTTCCGGTCTCCCCTGGTGGCAGGAATCCTGACAGGCGAACTTCACTGCCATCCCCCAGGAACTCCACCCGCAGGAAACCGGAATCAGGAGTGGGCGGGGACCCAGACCCCAGGACACAGACATTCCCAGCACCGTGCTAGCCTTGTCCCCAGCCAAACACCGTCTGCTGGCAGCACAGTCCGCGCGGAAGGGTTGATGCAAGGAGAACCACCCGCAAAGCTACTCCACACAGGTCCCTGCACGTGGCAGTCACGGTGATGGGCAGTGAGTGGTGTTCCACCAAGCACCACCGAGTAAGCTTGTTTTAAAAACTTGGGCACTGATCTGAGCCCAGGTTGCTCCACTTCTCATCCAGCTCCTTACTGAAGCACCTGAGAAAGCAGCAGAGGATGGCCAAGGCCGCCCTTGCACCCATGCGGGAGACTCCGATGGAGATTCTGGCTCCAGGGTTCGGCTTGACCAGCCCTGATCATCACAGACATTTGGGGAGTGAATCAGTGGAAGGAAGCACTCTCTCTGCCTCTTTCTCTCTGCTTTTCAAATCAATAAAGAAAAAAAAAATAGTTTCACATCTGCTGGGCTTCCAGGGCAATTATGACAGGACCAAGCAAGGGGCTGGGAGTGTGGCCCCCGCCCAGCTCCCTGTCTATACCATGCAGAAAATGCCCACAGAGGAGCTGGCTGTGTCCGAGGCCAGAATTACCACACAGCACTTCGGATGCAGCTCCTTGCTGATGGCCTGGGAGGGCAATGCTTGGGCCCCTGCCCCCCACAGGGGAGACCCGGATGAACCTCTGGGCTCCTGGCTTCAACCTGGCCCAGTGGTGCTCAGAGACGCTTGCCTCCTGCAGATCCATCTTCTGCAGGGTGTATTTATTGATTGTATTTATCGGTTGGCTTGCTGAGCACTCACTCAGGCTGCCACTGGCACAGCCACCCAGTCCAGATGGATCCCAGGCCTTGCTGCCCACTTTCCCAGGGACCTTGAGCAGTTGGTCTGCGTCCCTAATTACTGCTAGGGGCTTGAGAGGTGAAGGGAGTTGGCTTTAGGTTCGCAGAACCTCCCGATGGGGTGGCTGGCAGGTGCCTGTCCCAATGTGTCCCGTCCCCATGGCATTTCTAAGACCAGCTGTCCCCCCAAAACTGCCCAAGGTGTACCTAGGCAATCTTCCATTTTTAAGATTTTTTTTTGAAACTGAACAGAGTGGGAGAGGATTAGGGACAAAGGAGAAAGAGATGCAGCATCTGTGGGTTTATTTGCCCAAGGAAGCCCAACAGCCAGGCGTGGGCCAGGCCAAGGCCAGGAGCCGGGAACGCCACAGGGCAGCAGGGCTGGAGCCATCCTCCAGCTTTCGCAGCTGCATCGGAGGGGAGCTGGATCAGCAGCAGGCAGGGTGGCAGCGCAGCAGCTTAAACTGCTAGCCTGAGATGACCTCTGGAAGGACAAGTAGAAGAAACAGAAAAACAGCCCCAGGCACAGGTGTGTGTGTGTGGGGGGGGAGCGAGGCGTGGCTTCCACTGCCTGATTATCAAAGTGTGTGTGGGGTGGCCACGTGTCCAGTCACAGACAAGTCCAGAAGCACCCGGGGACTACCGCAGCTGGCAGACTCAGAGCACTTTAGAAAGTTCCTATGGGCAGGAAACAGCGCTGCCCACCAGCCACGGCACGGGCTGAAGGTCACGGCGAGACACAGAGAGGAGAGATGGGAGCCTGATGAAGCAGGGAGGAGGGCTGAGTGGCTACAGCCTGTAAATAACCTAGCCAGAGGAGCTGAGCTGCAAGCGCAGGAGCAAGCTCCCTCCCCGCGTGCCCTCAAACCACCAGGCTCCAAGGGAGCCCGTTGCTGTCACCCACAGCACTCGCATTCATTAGAAGCAACACACACTGCTTGTGCAGAGCCTTGCCACGCCACAGCCTCCTCCGAGTGAAACAAAACCCCCAAGGAGACAAAGGTCAGGGTTGTGTTTCCAGGAGCTCCGGGCTCCCCTCCCCCACTCCCAGGCTCAGGCTCCCCCTCCCACTCAGGCCACAGCCCAGGAAGAAAAGCTCCGTTGTGAGCGGGGTGGGGACCTAGGGCTCCCTCCCCACCTCCAGGGCAGGGGTCTTCTCTCAGGAAAGCTGCTCTGGCCCATCTACTGTCTGCCCCGCCCCTCTCCCATTCAGGCTGAGCCCTCTCCAACCCGAAGTCGCCCTCCAGCTAAGCCCCGCGGGGCCAGATCCTCTGGGCGGGGTGCACTCACCGTGGTGGCCGTCCAGCGGCGCCTGGGTGAGCACCGTCAGGCCCAGCAGCACGTAGTAGGCCAGCCCGAAGCAGTAGTGCACCAGGTGCATGACGGCGTGCGAGAAGACGCTGACGCAGTAGCACTCAAAGAGGCGCCGCGCGCTGTGCAGCCAGAGGCAGCCCAGCACCAGCAGCACCGACAGCGTGCCCTCGCCGCCCGCTGGCCCTGCAAGGCCAGGAAGCAGGCAGAGTCACGCGAGGGGCTGGGGCTGGCACCTGCGTCCAGTCCCAGCCACGACTCCAGGCTGTCCGAGCCAGGGTCGTGGGCACCGCAGAGGTGGGAAGGAGAGACAGCAAGTACCCACTTTCTTAGAGAAGGAAGGCCAGCAGGACGCTGGGGGACCCCCGCCCCCCGACGGCCTCACACTCTCTGCCCCAAGAATAACTGCCTTTTCAAGTAACATGCACGGCCAGCGCCCCCAGCCCTGGCTTCCGGCCACCATCGGCCTCCGCCTGCCTCAGTCTCTCCCACCCCCAGTTCCGGAAAGCTCAATTCTGACTCTCTGGAGGAAGGCTCCTGACCAGCCCAGTGTCCACACACCAACACTCCAGCCTGTCCCAGGCTCCATGCTGTCCCATTTCCTAATTTCTTCCCATTTTTTGCAACCAGTTCCTGTGAGCTGGAACAGCAGACAAGAGAATCGTTTGTTTCTAACTCTGCTCCCCGTTCGCTCCTTAACCAGTGGGCACTTGTACAGCTTTCACCTTCAATTCTTTCTTGTAAAACTTGGCCTGGTGCCAGCACTATGGCATAGCAAACTGTACCCCATCCCATGTAGGTGCAGGTTCGAGTCCTGGCTGCTCCACTTTCCGTCTAGCTCCCTGCTGATGTGCCTGGGAAAGCAGTAGAGTGCTTGGGCTCCTGCATCCACACGGGAGACCTCAAGGAGCTCCTGGCTCCCAGGCTTGGACCACCCCAGCTCCGGCTGTTGTAGCCATCTGGGGAGTGAACCAGCAAATGGAAGCTTTCTTCCTGCTTCCCTTTCTGTAACTCAGCCTTTCAAACAAATAAAACACAATAAGCAGTAACAACAATAATAAAGGGACTATCCTGTTTATCTGACACTGTGGCAGACTCTTCTGGGAGCATCTGGTCAACCATGATTCCATCAGCAACCTTGCCCTCCATCAGCACACGGTGATCAGAGGGGATGTCCTAATGGGCCTCTGAGACGAGCCTGTGGGTGCGGAAGGCTGTCCCTGGTCCGTGGCAATACACATTGACCAAGCTGGGCTTGGAACAGGGCACGCCAGCTGCTCACAGGGCTGGTGGCAATGTCCCCTGATGGTAGCGGAGGACTTGGCGACATGGCCTCTGCCACCCACCCAGCACAGGTCCTGTGAGTTCCAGCAGGTAGGAGCGAGGGGAACAGGCTGGCGGTGGTGCAGGAGCCTGGGCTGGTGGTGGGGTTCTTACCTTGGACCTGCGTGGCCCCCAGAACTGTGAGCAAGCCATGCAGCCAGTGTGGAAAGGGAACGCCCAGGAACACAGACTGAGACAGGAGCCAGAGCAGGAAGCCGTTCCACAGCACCGAGACGACGTAGAAGTGTGAGAAGTACCTACGGGAGGCATCGAGGCGGGTCTCCAGTGAGCCGCCTGGGAAGATGGCACTCTCACCCTGTCCTGGCACACCCAAAGGTGGCACAGTTTCCCTTCCACTGGCGGGGCCAGGAACAAAGAGGCGTCTCTGAGGTTAAGGTGCACACAAGCCACCTCAGGAAACACACACTGCGTCCATTACAACCTGCCTTATCTCTGGGGGGTTGATGCCCTGAACGGGGGTGGGGTGTGGGTGGCAGGGCCCTGCAGAGAGGTTCTGGGGGTGTAAGAGGTTTGGGGACCCTGGGCAGCCCCGCAGCTGTCGCCGTTCGGCTGCTCTCTGGTCCTCCAACAAGGGATCAGCGCCTGCCAGCTCTCGGCCCACCACGGAACACTGCTGGCAAACTGGGTTCAACTGAAACCACGATGACACCCATACCATTAACCTCGCTCATCTAACGTGAAAGATGACGTTGAAAATGGCCCCAACTCGAGACCATTATACTCTGTGAAATAAGCCAATTCCCAACAAATATCCAATGTTCTCTGTGATACCAGGTGACCGTCATGCAAAAGATGAGATCTCTTCTGTCTCCCTAGGTGTATGTCTGCAGGTACATTCATTTAGACGAACTGTGTAAGGGAGACTCGCACGCCGAGAAGACACAATGCAGAAGGCATCTCTACTCCCGGATAAAAGGACTCCTGATGAAACTGTACCTGCCACGTCAGCACAGATTGCAGAACAATGGCTTTGTGCCGGCGTTGAAGGACTATACTATTGTAATGATATAGGGGAAATCAGTGAGGCAGAGGGCAAATGGGGAAGTGGGAAGAAACCCCTGATCCTATGGAACTGTATCATAAAAAATAAAACAATGAAATAAAAAGAGAGAATGCTGAGAGATCATGAGGCTTACTTCCCCAGACCTTTCCTGACACAGGTTGGAAGCCCTTATCTGCTCAGGGCTGGGGGGATTTGATTCTTAAAACTCTTGCATACACATATGTACCCCCAAGTCTACACATCAAATTCATCTTGTATCATGACCACCTACATCACGTCGCCAAAGTAACATCACTCATTATTACGGTGTTGCTGCACACTGAACTACGCCTGCCAGGATGGAATTTCCCACTGCTGGCATCACTTGTCGATGTTCAAAAACTTCCTCTTTGGACCATCTTAGACCATCTACACTTGCCTGCTCCTGAGCCAGTCCTGGCCTCCTGGACCATCCTAGGTGCCCACAGTCCCCTGCCCTCTGGGTCACCCTTGCCCCTCTCCCATTCTGACCCTGATAATGAAAATACCCTGGAGCCAGAAGAGGAATCAACAAACCCAGGGCCCCCCCCAGGATGTTCTGGAACATTCCCAAGCCCAGGCCCACAGCCCTCGGGTGAACACACACTCCACGGGAGCCCACCTGGGTTTGCCATGCAGTGAGCCAACAGGACTGTTATACCTGCCTCAGGGCCAGCCACTGGCCAGCCACTGCCAGATGGTCTCCACGCTGTGGAGGGCCCACCTCCTCTCCGGGCCCAAGAGCCCAGTTTCCTCAGTAGCTCGCACTTGAGGCAATTTTGTTGTTAACTCCATTTTGACTGGTCCCTCCAGCCTAACAAAACTCCACGTGATTTCAATTTTCTTTGCCTGCCCTCCCCCTTAATTACACTCATCTTTTTAATTCCATGTTTCCTTGAACTTGCTGCAGGACCCTCTCATCTATATGGAGCCTCTTGCAGACCAACTTGGACTGCCCTCTAAATGACTAATCTCTACTGCCATGTGAACGCTACGTAAACAGTGGCTATGCTGCACGGTCTGGGGACAGTCATGAGAAAAAGTCTGCACGTATCCATTACAGATGCAATGATTTATTTTTTCAAATATCGTCCACCTGCAGTTGGGTAAACTGATGGATTAGGAACCTGCCAATACAGAGGAGCCACTGCAGAATGGTTACAAAGACAGCCAGTCTCAACCGCATTGCACCACTGATCCCTGAGTCTCTGGGGGACTCCTGGGCCCCAGGAGTGACATCTGGGCTTCCCTCTGTCTCCAGGGCCCAGTGCTACCACAGTCCTTCCACAGCACTCAGAACCATCTTGAAATTTCAGAAACAGACACGTTTCCACGTTCATTACGCGCATCAGGAGCTCCGGGACTCTCACTCCAGGTCACCTACCTACTCAGATCTTCTGGGAATCAAAACTCTAGGAACCAGAAGGAAAAGAAAAAGAAAAAGGAGAAGCTCTCCCTCGCCCCCAGGCAGGCTAGTGGAAACAGGCATCCCAGGAACCGACAGCTTTATTTTTGCCTCCTCAGACAGTAACGAAATTCTAAACAAACCACGACCTATGCACCATCTTTGGTGTAAAAGTGACTCGCGCTGTCTTTGGTAGAGAGCTGCAGCTGTTTCCACTGTGGAGCATCATGCCACCGAGGGAAAAACGTGTCCGAATCCAGGCCCAGGTTACCAGGTGGTGACACTGCTAAACACTTCTGCCTGCACAAGTCCCTTCCCACAGACCTCTCGCCCAAGGTGCAGCTTCGCACGGTGCCAAGTCCTCTCCACGGGGACCAGCGGTGGGTCCGAGGCTGGGATCGATGTCAACAGGCTTCTGCACTGCCCGCCAGCCCAGCCAGCCCGGTGGCACTGGGCTAGTGACCTCGCCTAATGACTTTTCTACCATAGAACCACAGCAATAGCATCTCTGTCCCAGGTGTGGCAGGAAGGTTAAGGTGCCTCAGCACGCATAGTCACGGCAGGGTCAGTGCAGCAGGGGGAGCTGCTGCTCGCTATGCCTGCAGCCCAGGTGCACACTGGTTTGAGTTTCTCCTGCCCCACTTCTCATCCAGCTCCCTGCTGATGCGCCTGGGAAAGCAGCCGAAGATGGCCCAAGTGCTTGGGTCCTGGCACCCCTGTGCGAGACCAGGGTGAAGCTCCTGGCTTCTTTTTTGACACCAGAATAAACATGTCTCTTCATTCCATTTTCCATGAGTTTTCTGAAGTCCTTCGCATGTGTGGGCACCAAACCAAAGGCAGCTGCTGTGACGCCAGCAGTGAATTCTCTCCCACGTGCTCCTCGGCCACTGAGACCAGCTCTTCCCTTACGGGGCACGTGGGCAGTACGCTGTCAGTGAGGACACTAGATAACACAGGTGCCATCTGCAGCCCCCCTCTCATAGACACAGTGAGACACACGTTATAGGGGCACACACTGCCAGTTCTGATCCAAATGCTTTGTGTCTCCATAAAAATGCTTTTTGGGGGCCAGCCTTGTAGCACAGCATGTGAAGCCACCACGTGTAACACCAGCCTCTTATGAGTACCAGTTCTAGTCCCAGCTGCTCCACTTTCCCTCTGTTCCCCGCTAAGGCACCTGGGTAAACAGCAGAGGATGGCACCACTCATTGGGTTCCTGTACTCCCAGGGGGCCAGGAGTCCTAGGCGCCTGGCTTCCCCCTGGCCCAACCTTGTTCAGTGTAGCCATTTGGCCTTTCAAACACACACATAAGATTTTTGAAAAAAACACTTGTCATTATTGGCTGGATTTGTACCTTCTCAACATAGTAGCAATCACAGGCCCGAGGAGTACCAACTGCCACAAGTGTTGTAACACTTCCCATCTGTAACCAATGGCTGCAGTGCATCCAGGGAGTACACCCGCAGGATCAGACAAAGGACTCCATGGTTTTCTCAGCTAGTCAGCCTGTGGGAGGGGGCAGCGACTCACAGAACAGCAACTTCAGGGAGATGATTTAAACAGTGCTATTTAGTCCAGGGACATTGGTGCCCTTTTCAAAATAGTAAAAACAGATCGCTGTGGAGCTGAAAAGGAAGCGCACACCCTCCATTAAGAGTGGCTGTTTCTATCAGGAAGAACTCTTAGGAAATAGTTTGATTAAATTTGTCTTGGGTATGTGTATGTGGGTACTTCAGAATGCTCCTGGAAAATGGAACTCGAAGACCATCTCAATTTGGTGCAAAAAAAAAATTGTTTTTTTTAAATGCATGCGTAAGTGAGAACTTCAAACAGGCATGAAAAACAAACCCCTCCAGGGTCTGGCACCAGGGCTCGCTTGGTTAGTTCTCGCCTGCAAGTGCCGGGATCCCATATGGGCGCTGGTCTGTGTCTGGCCTGCTCCACTTCCCATCCATCTTGTGGCCTGGGAAAGCAGTGGAGGAAGGCCCCGCGTGGGAGACCCTGAAGAGGCTCCTGGCTTCAGCCCAGCGCCTGCCCTTGCGGCCACGTGGGGAATAAACCAGCTGACGAGGATCTTCCAGCCTCTCCCCACGCTTGAGCCATCCCCACCCCAGTCTTCAGCAATCACGAGCGGCGGTGGGCCAGTCCACCCCAGCCCCCACCGCCGTCTGTGGACACACTTCTCAGTGCCAACTGAAGATGCATATTACGGAGGACCCAATCCGGGATGCACCTTGTCCCTAAACGCGCCACCTGCCGCCGTCAGGGCTGCAAGAGGCCGAGGGACAGGCCCGCAAGGCCGGCCCGCCTGAGCTCCACGCGCCCCAGTGAGGAGCCCCCGCGGGCCAGGCCGGGTGTCCCCCCAGGACCGCCGCGCGCACGCGGGCCTGGCCTCTCCGGGTCCCCCCTTGCTGCCCTCTGCCGGCTGCGCGGTTACCTCTTGGGGACATCAAAGGCCCGGCAGAGGGCCGGGCGCGGCGGCGCCCCGAGCTTGGTTTTCCCGTAGCGGATCAGGTCCTGGAAGAGCGCGTGGGTCGGCAGCAGGCCGGGCGGCAGCAGCTGCAGCAGCAGGGCGAGCAGGAAGCCGGCGGCGAGCGCCAGCCAGAGCGCGCGCAGCGGCGACAGCGCCCACGGCTCGCCGCCCGCCCAGGGCGCCATGGCCCGCCGAGCAGCCGGCTCGTGCGCGCAGCCCGCGGCCGGGGACGTTGGTGACGCCGCGGGGCGGGGACGCGCCGGCCACGCCCGCACAGCTGGCTGAGCCTGCAAGGAGTTGCAGGGGAGAGCTGGAAGCGGCCCAGCCGCCGAGCTTCAGAAAAGTGCACTTTAAAGAGGATTCTTTGTATGCAGAAAACTTGGCACTCTAAATATAGTTTTTCATATCTGCGTTTTCCATGTTCTGTATGAAAACCCTGCGTATGCTTGGATTTTTTTGGGGGAAGGGTGGGTTCCCGGATAAACTTATTTAATCCCACTTCCAATGAACTTAAATTTTTTATTTACTTACTTGAAAGGCAGAGTTACAGAGAGGAGATCCAGAAAGAGGGAGAGAGCTTCCATCTCTTTCTCCTACCTGCTGACTCACTGCCTAGGGCAGGTTGAAGCCAGGAACCGGGAGCTTCATTAAGGCAGTGGGGTTGGGCCCAAGCATTTTGGGTCACCATCTTCTGCTGCTTTTGCAGGTGAGTTAGCAGAGAGCTGGACAGGAAGTAGAGCAACCAGCCATCGTATAAGATGTCAGCCTGGCAGGTGGCTGCTTCAATAACTGCCCCTTGGCGACCAAGATTTATTTATTTATTTGAAATCCAGCATTACAGAGAGAGGGACAGAGAGAGGAGAGAGAGAGAGAGCTTCCATTTGTTGGTTCCTTGGTCGTAATGGCTGGGGCTGGGCCAGGTCCAGGCCAGGAACCAGGAGCTTTAGCTCGGGTCTCCCACGTGGATGCAGGCATTCCCCTGTTAGCAGGGAACTGACCAGAAAGGGAACAGTTAGGACTTGAAGCAATACTCAATGGGATCCTGGTGTCACAGGCAGAGCCTTCACTGGCTGCACAACACTGCCGGCCCCATCCAACAAACTTTTGCTTATGTTCAAATGGTTTATTTATTTTGCTTGAATATCAGAGTTGGACTGGGATTCCCTCCATACTTCCTCATCCCACCCCTCTCTCTCTCTCTCTTTCTCTCTCTCTCTCTCTCTCTCTCTCGGCTCTTGCGGGGCTGGAGGGCTTCCTGGGCATGGAACTGCTGAAATTCCTTGCAGCACTTCCTCCTCACAGCTTCTTGGGCATGCTGGCCTGCTGGGTGCAGGTGCTTCTCCCGAGCTGCCCCTCCCGCAGAGAGCTGGGGTCCAGCTAATGAGGTCTTCAAATGAGGATGTGACTTTTGTTGGACAGCCACTGGTTCAAGGCTGCTGCTTCCTCCCTTTGCTCAGAAATTCCCGGTTTCTTAACATATTTTCATTTCCTTCGGCCCCTCGTACCTGCTCGGGCTCGCGCTCACAGAAGGATGCGGAAGGCAGGTCATCGGGATCCTCGGGATGTGCAAATGTAACAGCAGAAGGAGAGAGCTAACCTGTGCGGGTCGCAGTGCGCCTACGACCAGCAGCTCTTGGCAACTGGAGCAGCAAAGTCTCCAGCCCCGGCAGCTCTTTTTCCTCCTCCTCTTCTTTTTCTTAAGATTTAAAATTTTTTATTGGAAAGGCAGATTTATACAGAGAAGGAAAGACAGAAAGATCTTCCATCTGCTGGTTCACTCCCCAAGTGGCCACAATGGCTGGAGCTGAGCCAATCCAAAGCCAGGAGCTTCCTACAGACCTCCCAAGTGGGTCCAGGGTCCCAAGGCTTTGGGCCGTCCACCACTGCTTTCCCAAGCCACAAGCAGGGAACTGCACGGGAAGTGGAACAGCCAGACATGAATTTGCCACCAACATGGGTCTCTGTCTGCAGGGGGAGGATTAGCTGACTGAGCCATTGTGTTGGGCCAGCTGGCCTCCAGTACTCTGTAATGACGCTGCTGCTTCTCAGCTCATTCGTTTTAAACAACATTGACTTTTTGGTAATTATAAATGGATACTGAGTTCTTTTATGGATTTTTTTTTTTAAAAAAGAGAGTCTTTAAGATGTTAATTCAACCCAAATTGACACTGTATGAGTCCCTGCTGCTTCACTTCCTGTCTGGCTCTGCTAATGTGCCTGGAAAACAGCAGAGGCTGGCCCAGGTGCCTGGGCCCCTGTGTCCACATGGGAGACCTGGAAGAAGCTCCAAGCTCCTAGCTATAGATCAGCCCAGCTCCAGCTATTGTGGCCACTTGAGGACTGAGCCAGGGGACAGAAGGTCTTTTTCTGTCTTTTTCCTCTCTCTCTTCCTCTTTGTATTTGTGCCTTTCAGATAAATAAATAATTTTTAAAAAGCTGTTAGGGGTGGTGTGGTAGCTACCAGTACCCCATAAGGCTGCCAGTTCATGTCTGGCTGCTTTACTTCCAGTCCAACAATCCAGCTCCCTGCTTATGACCTGGGAAAGTGGTGGAAGATGGCCCAAAGCCTTGGGACCCTGTGCCCAGGTGGGAGACCTGGAAGAAGGTCTGGCTTCTGGCTTTGGATTGGCTCAGCTAGTTACTGTAGCAATTTGGGGAATGAATCATCAGATGGAAGACCGCTTTCTCTGTTTTTCTCTCTATAAATCTCTTTCCAATAAAGTTGAATAAATCATTAAAGAAAGATATTCATTAAAAAAATCATTGTATGCTTGTTGTGCAGCAGTGTCATTGGGACCTTAAGGACTGGAGGACAAAGGGTGGCTCTGCCTGGTGGTCTTCAGGTGGGGTGGTGGGGAGTGGTGCAAGGCTGGGGGAGAAGCCCACCCCTCACCCAGGGCAGATGTTGGGAATATGGAGTAAGCACTACGGGACTGCGTGATTTGTCAGTGGGCTCGTTGGATGTTCATGGTCAACTAAGATGTGTCTGAAACGGTGTCATGGGCGTTTCTGCCAGGACAGTGGGAAGGTCTGTGAGCCCAGCGAGTTTGCTGCCAAGGTTGTGCCTTCTGATGCTGCTTCCTTGTTCTCAGGGTTGCTGTGTCAAGTGGAGAAGTGCCCTTCAATTTTCACTCCAGGCTCTGGTCACAGCCAGGAGCTCTTCCGGGTCTCCTACGCAGGTGCAGCGTCTCAAGGCGTTGGGCCGTCCTTGACTGCTTTCCCAGGGAGCTGGGAGGGAAGTGGAGCAGCTGAAACAAGAACTGGGGCCCATATAGGATCCCGACACTTGTAAGGTGGGAACTTTAACCACTACCACTCTGCACCAGGCCCAGAGAGAGGAATTCTTCATGCTGGCATATATAAGATACATTGTATTTTGTGTGCAAGCATGCTCACACAGACACACAACCCGTAAGAACATAGGTTGTTTCAGGTGGAGATTTTGGTCCTTAGTGGAAAGTGGGCCCAGAAGGAGAAGAGAGTGGGATAGGGAAAGCAGGGAGAGAGACTGAGAGAGAGAGGAGAGAAAAACAAGAGAGGAGAGAAAGAGAGAAAAAAGAAAGAAAGAAGAGAGACAGAGAGAGGGGAAAGAAAAAGAAAGAAAAATGAGTTAGAGAAAGGGAAAGAAAACTGCGAGCTGCGCAGGAGAAGCCAGTCAGTACCTTGGCAGGTGTGGGCCACACTTCCCCCACCTGCCCATCCCGGGGAAGGGCCTACATCCCCAGAAGGGGGGATCCTGAGCAGTGGGGTGGGGCCTCCAGCTCAGCTGCCACACACCTGCTTTGGGCCTCAGGAGGTCTTTCCAGAGAAGTGGCTTGTGAGTCTGTGGAGGGGCCCAAGGCTGCTGGGTGGAGGGGTCTCGGTGGGCTTTGATTTGGAACAAGATAGAGGGAACAGCCAAGACTGAGCTTGGAGAAAATAATAGCCCAGGGGTTTGGGTTTGGAATCTTATCAGAGGGCATTTTTATGTTTGCATTTAAAGAGACCAAGAGTGGCTGGGTCAGTCTGCACACGCCCACCACAGCCAGGCCAAAGCTGAAACCAGAAGCCCAGCTCCACCAGGCTCCCACGTGGGTGGCAGGGGAGGACTGGGCCATCCTCTGCTAACCTCCCAAAGTGCACAATGGCGGCAGGAGGTTGGATCCAGAGCTGGTAGCTGGGTCTCCAGCTCCAGCTGCTGGACCAGATTCCTGGGGCGCCGAGGTTATGTTCCAAGACTCCCCAGAAGAGGGCAGTGTTTGAATTGGAAACCGGCAGCTAAACGCTCCCTGCTGGGCCAAACCAGCTGTTCCACAGGTGGAAAGCCGGGCTGCCGTCAGGGACAGACCCTGCCAACCGGCACGGGCCAACATATTGCCCTTCTTTGCTTCAAGAGCAGCACCGTGTGCTGGACAGATCGCAGGCCTTGCCAGCAGCGACAGCAATGGCCTTCTGCCAGCTGCCCGGTCCCCAGCCTTCAACTTCACGTTGATTCTCATCTTGCTCTCATAACTGCTTCTCCCCTCTCTACAAGGACTCCCGGGGTGTCCTCCCCTGGGCTCCCTCTGCTGCCTGCTCCCCTCTGGATCCCCTGCCAGCCACAAGCACAGACTGTGCCCTGCTCAGAACCCTGCCCAGGCTTCCATTGCCTCAGAGCGAGAGCAGGGTGTCCCAGGGTTCCAGGTCCCAAGGTCATGGCTGCAGGTGCTGCTGTCCGAGCTTGTCCCGGCCCTCCCTGCTGCTCCTTGCTCTGCTGTGCCTCAGCCACTCAGCCACAGGCATTCATATCTCACGGTTCTGGCGGCCAGCGAGTTCCAGGTCAAGGTCCCGCAGGGTCTGTTTCCAATGAGGCGTCTCCCCCCCTCCCACCCCCGTGGTCTTGCTTGACCTCCTCTCCCACGTGCAGGAGGGAGAGAGTGAGTTAGCCAACCTCCAGGGGGTTTTCTCATTTGATAAAACAATTTTTATTTATGCATTTGAAAGGCAGAATTCCAGAGGAGAGGGAGAGAGCTCTTTGATCCAGTGGCTGATCTCCCCGATGGCCACAGTGGGCAGGGATGGGCAGGGCTGAAGCCAGGAGCGTCCTGCGGTCCTCTGACAAGCCATCTTGTGTTACCAGGTGCATTACCAGGAAGCTGGATCAGAAGTGGAGCAGACAGGACTTGAACCAGCATCTGTATGGGATGTAGCTTAACCTGTCACGCCACAGCACCGCCC